ATCTGACATAGGTCGATGATGCCAGTCTTGTAGAATCGCTTGATCGTTCCGCCCGCTCCTGAGCCTATCCGTTCCGTCGCGTTCGTCAACCCAAGTTGCGGCCACAAATCTAATGACCCGGCTCGACGTATATAATATATATATATATATATATAGCTATACGCCACTCCCCTCGCCCTTGCTCTCACTCTCCCTCCCTCTCATTCTCTTTCCCTCAACACGTCAAGCTCCCCTTCTCACTCTCCATAATAGTATAATTGATTGCAATCGCGCCCACTTTTTACCTCTCTCGCTGTGCACCCTTAGTTCTTCATATTGAAATCCTCCTATCTTTCCCCCATCGCAACCTCCAGAAAGTTGCGGCACATTTCCCGCAATTGCGGTTCTCTCGAATTTCATTCTAAAGATTTTCCAGTCCTTTGCTTTCTAAAATCATGTAAAATATATCCGACACATATCTCAACGATGAATCGTCAGCGATGTATTTTTTCGTACCCTCACCTTCCTGAAATTTGTTAATGCCCATATAAATTACTATGCTTCGCGACAAGTGAATGTGCTGTTCTCTGTATAGTAGTCTAGTAAAATATTCGCTGGTACAGCACTGGTTCGGACGCTTATATTCGCACATTGGGTGAGGCATCGTCTAAACCGTCATGGGGAATATAGTCAGCTTTGATGAGCAGCTAATTTTTCTGGTTCACTAGCATCCCGAAGTTACAAAAGTAGTAGAGTATATATGCATGTGCTGTGAAAACTCTTCTGTAAACTATTAGTATTACTGTAAATAACTATAATGTGTGTATAGTACTGTCTATACTGTACTGCGCGCGTGCGTGCGTACGTGCATGCGCGTGCGTGCGTATTGCGCGTCAGGTACTGTAAAAAGTAGTTGTTTGTGACCCTACCATCCACAACAGTTGATGTGGAGAGGGGTTTTAGCAGACATAATTTGGTTAAAACAGCTCTGAGAAATCACCTGAAAACAGAAAGTGTTTGTGACATTCTAACCATCAAAATTGAAGGCCCAGGAGAAGAGATGTTTGACTTTGAAAAGTAGAATTTTCCTGCCAGCAGTGAAGAAAAAAAATTCAGACAATTTGAATGTCTCTGTCAGTCAGTCAGAGTTATGGTGGTGAATCATAGTGTTAGTGTCTCAGTCATAGACATGTGGTGAATAATAGTTTGTTTGCATTAAATAAGTGTAGTTTTGTACTTCATGCATATAAAAGTTTGTGAAAAAATAAAGAAAAGAAAAATTATTTATCGCCTGTTTGTGTTCATAAAATGTTAGGCCACAGATGTGGCTAACAGGAATCCAAATTGGCTAATGAAAATTGATTCTGGCTAATTGTTTGGCTACAGAACAAAAAATCCTAGCTAGGGCCCTGAGAAGGGTTTATTAATGTGATCCAGGTAAGTTTTAGAGGTGACATGCAGTGATTAAGAATGGGGTTAATCCAGGTATGTTTTGTTCTGTGTATGAATTCCGATAAAATGTCTGATAAAATGTCCTTGAAAAAAAATGCAGTCTTCCTGTACGAACCATGATAGAGCGTTCAGTGCAAACTGTTAATTATATGACGTTTTGACATCAGGAGACGTGCATAGGCTTCTTCACCAGAACTCTGTTAGTGTTTTAGAAATCTTTCCTCAGAGGTACTTTAAAATGGATAAGTTTTTTGTTAGCATGACAGATGACTAGTTGACATGTGCAAAAGCACCTGCCTTTAAAACTTGAATTGAACAATCACCAATGGTAAAAGTGAAACAATCCATTCTTTCCTGTTAAAGTGCCATCTTGTTTACTCGACACAGCCCGAAGAGTTTCCTGAAGACTACGAAGAAGAGGAAGCCGAAGATACTTATGATGTGGGCGAAATGGAGGAAGGAGACTTTGACACAGCGGAAGACGAGCAATTGGGCGAAGAAGAGATGCACGAAGATTTAGATTTTGAGGTAAAACTCTAAAAACAATGTTAATCAGTATGTTGTCTGTCAATGCTAGAATAATTTGCCGTATAAAGTTGATGAACATAATTATTTAGATTTTTTTTTTCTGTTGACCATGGTGGGCATGATGTTGCTTCCTTGAGTCGGGAACATTTTGTTCCTTACAAGGCTATACTAGTGCGTGTTCGCCGTCCTTCGGGCCGGGTATTTAGAATTATTGCATGTAAAACATCATGTTTGTGGTTTTAGGAGGGTGGCGAGGAGATGGTACAGGATGAGATGGACCAGGAGGAGGTCGTTATGGCGGAGGAAGCTTCCGATGAGGATGTCGTCGAGATTATCGACGACGAGGAGGACGACGACAACGATGGCGACGCCGACGACGACATCGAGAGCGAGGCGGCGCACATGGACGCGCAGGAGAGCGGCGGCGGCGTCGCCACGACGACCGCCGAAGCGCTGCCGACCCTCGCCGTCGCGGCCAGCGTGCCCGCGGGCACCGCACGCCAGCACCTGGGCGGGGGCGCGGCCATCCCCGCCGTCGACGCGCAACGGCCGGGCTTCCTGCCGCAGATCCGCACCGAGCGGCTGTCGACGATGGGGCGCGGTTCCGGCGGCGCGTTCGCGCCGGGCCAGGCGCCCGTCTACGACGACGGCGACGGCATCGTGCCGAGCACGCCGACGCTGTCTGTGCCGCGGCGCAACGACGGCTTCGCGGAGGCGATCAGCTCGCCGCAGGTGCAGGCGCGTTTCACGTTCGGCGGCGGCGGCGAGGCGAGCAGCAGCGTGCCGTCGCAGCTCGCCTCCCAGGGAGCGCTCGGCATGGACGACACGAAGATGGACCTCTCGCAGTTTGACGAGGGTGAGGGCCGCAGCATACCGACGACGCCTTCGGGTCAGAGGTCGCCCGCGGCTCTGTCCGCCGAGTCGGCCCCGGCCGCCGCCGCGGAACCGGGTCCGCTCGGCGAGGTTGCCGAGCATGTTGTCATAGTTACGGAGGAGGAAGCCTTGCCCGCTGAACGAGCGGAGGGAGCGGCAGAGTTGCTGGAGAGCAAGCAAGTAGAGGAGGAACTCGCTGGCACCGATGCGGGAGACGTGCACGCGACTGCTGAAGCTATAGTGGAGGAACCCGCGGAAGAAGGTGAAGGAGGGGAGCGTCCCGAAGACGACGTTGTTCTGCAGACCGGTGACGAGGTTGAGTTGGAAGGAGACCGGCAGGATGAGCGTGAAGGAGACACCGACGGCCAGTCACAGGCACAGCCCGGTGATGGAGGAGAGAAGAGGCCCGCACAGAGGAAGCCCATCGTGTGGACTGAGCCAAGCGAGCCCGCAGCATCCGCAGCGTCTGCGCAGCCCCCAGCGATCCCACCATTGACGCAGCCATTGCCCGTTCAACGGGGAAAGCCCCAGTACCGTGGTAGGCGGGGCAAGCCGTTAGGGCGTGGCACAGCTCAGTCGCAAAGGGTAATGCCAAGTCAGCAGCGATTGCCACAACAAATGCAGCAAATACAACAAATGCAAACGATACAACAGTTGCAACAGTTGCAGCAGCAGTTGATGCAGCAGCAACCGCAGCAGCAGCCACCACAGCCGGTGTACCGGGGCATGCCCATGCAGCAGAGAGGTATAGCCCGGGGGCGAGGAGGTCAGTACAGAGGGTCTTCACCGGGGCGCAATCCATTCCGCAGACAGTTTTAGTTAGTTTTTTCCTCCTATGTCCATTATAAGTGTCACACTTAAACGTCACGTTAGGATTAGTTTGCACCTGGGACCACAGTCTAAAGGAGTCACATCTGGTGTACGTGCCCTAGGTGTTTTGAATGTCCTTTGTTGCTAGACTGAATTATGTGTAGCTTTTGTTTCCAAATGTAACACTGTTAAAGGGATACATTTCTCTAGGTTCTTCAGATATTTTCGGCTAAGATTATGCTTCATAAAAAGATTTATGGTTCAATATTTATTAGAAATATTTTTTTTAAATGTTCTAAATCTGACTGCTATACCGTTGCTTACAGCGACGGTGGCGCCACTAGCAGGCACCCACTGGAAGAGTTGCGCAAAGCAACGTTTCGGCTGCTGCAGGCTACAGACCGAGTGTTTCTTATTTATTAATTTAACAGCAGAAGGATTGCAATATCTTATAAACGACATTTAGTTTCAGTTATAATATGGGTAAATTTGTCCTAAAATGAATATCGTTCGGTTAAATAGCATTTAGGTATAAATATAATTGCACTTTTGTGATTAGTTCTCGGTCTGTAACGTGCAAAATAAATTGGAAAATGCGCAACTTTTTCAGGGTGGCAGCACGGTCGCGGATGTCATGTCAGCGCCCAAAAATGAAGATTTCGAAATTCAATGTTGTTTTATGACAAACGTGAATGCGTAATTATAGATATTTATAGGTATTTGCTATTGTTTATAATTCTACTATCATAATATACTCTCAAACTCTAGAGTAAATTATCCCTTTAAGTCGTATAATAGCATTTAATTTATCATAACATAGGATGGTGAGCAAATCCCAGTGAGGAACAGCAAGGAACTTGCTTTACACATGTATTTCGGTAAGGATTCCTGTGCATATCTAGATCTATAGATAAAACAAAGCATCACTGTGAGATGGCTCCAAAATTGACGAAAAAGCAATGGGTTAAGATTTTCTTTTCAATTTTTGTTTCTGTTGCCACAGGATACCTATATTATGCACATGGTTGATCCCAAGAGCTTTATGTACCATTTTCTGCACTGCGCTCGCTTATGATCAGTCAACAGATCAAAGGGATTTGTTATACCATCACAGGTGCCAGCATTTCTATTTAAAATGTTTGGATGGATACAGAAGAGGGCGAATAAACGTGTTTTGCTTATTAAATTCAAAGCTGTTGTTATGGTATTGTTAAAATAGTAGACGATCACACTCTTGGCCAAGATTACAATTCAAGGAATTGCATGTTTAGATATACATGTAATTATTAATAAGTTTTAAGTGGGAAGAGTATAAGCAGTTGCTATGGAGGGAATTAACAGATAACAAATAGTAAAGGTTGAATGTTCACGATGCAATGAATTTATTATTCCATACTTGTACATGACAATGGGAAATATTTCTGGCATAGCATGTACAGAGTTTTTGTGTTGCACTTTGTTTTATCGAACCTCGACTGAAAAATCACTTCGATTGAAGTAATATATATTTACACATTACAGGCATTTCTATGAATGAATTACTTTTGAATTCTATATAATGCTTTAGTAGACTGGTGTAAAAGCCAAAACATTTTAGTAATCATCAATACTATGCCTCGACTTTTCCATACGCACGCTGACATAAATCACGCACAACCTACGAACGGTTATTTCCTCACCTGTATAAATACATGTCCATGGTTTAAACCAGACATGACACACATGCTCACACGTATGGACGCATGTATATAGGCATGTGTATATATAATAAATCCAAGGGAGGTCTAATTATGCAGTGTTTCTTAGACTTGATCTGACTACTGCCTGCAAATAGTTGTCATTTTACACTATTCGACCGTGTTTCTCTAAGCATAGTAGTTGAGATTTGTCTTTTTCTTGGCCTGTACTTCCAAGATGGCGTCCATATAGTCTTCGTGAGTCACTTCGAATGCTTCCCTTCTCAGTGCTATCATTCCCTGAATATCAATAAATTGCACAGCTGTCAGAAACGTTGTGATGTTTTTATAATAAATACCACAACTGCAACGTGTCTATGTTTTACTGGAAAATTCTAGCCAAGTTCATTTGAACTGGAGAACTGTGTTAAGCATATATATAGCTGTGGATAATATTCCGACTGATCCACCGAATCTCTACTGTATTTACCCGGAGTTCAAGCGAGCAGGAGTTAATCAGTACATGTTCGACCAAAGCTGCAGCGCATCGATTCAATGTAAAGAGTTACAGTACCGTTAAGTCTCTCAGTTCTTCATTTCTGTAAAGATGACTCCAACGAATAATAGGGCAATCTTAGCAAAAACGTGATTGGAGTTTCAGAATCCACCTACCGCTTCCACACAAACCGCTTTGCACTGGGCTCCGTTGAAGTCATCCGTACATCGAGCCAGCTCCTCATAGTTGACATCAGGACTGCAAGACGAGAGCACAAATATCATCACCACATACAACTACTGCTCGTCACTGTATAAGGTCCATAGTCTCCAACTCCTACGATTATAATAGAAAAGGCCACTCAATCCGAAATGAAAACTACGAGATGTGTTTGTGCCTTCGTGAGATAGCATGTTTACCGATGCCGAGGGGGATGACTTACCTCACATTCATCTTCCTGGAATGGATCTGCATAATGCGTGCCCGTGCTTCTTCATCCGGAGCAGGGAATTCTATCTTCCTGTCCAGACGACCGGACCGCAGCAGTGCTGGATCGAGAATGTCCACTCTATTTGTGGCCGCAACCACCTGTACATACAACACATCACTCCAGCTTTAGTTTCATGATGCCTCCATCACCATGGTCATGTAATAACATATTGCCATGTAAACTACCCAATTGATTCCTAGATGGCAGAATTAATTTATAAGGTATATAACTCAGCATATACAAGTACTATTTGCATCATATCAGTTGTGGTCTGGGCTATCGAGCTCATTTACATGATTATATGATAACCCGACAAAGTCGACTTCAACATTAAATTCATATATAATAACAAGCAACACCAGTAGCTGATGCAATTCCTGTTACATCCTCAGACTCACCTTGATATCAGAATGCGAACTAAAGCCATCCATCTGATTGAGCAGCTCCAGCATGGTTCGCTGCACTTCTCTGTCGCCAGCCTTCTCACTGTCAAACCTCTTTGTACCTGTGAAATGACAACCACGATGTAAACATACACTCGTGACCCATACATAGCTCATAGCAAGCAATTAATGTCAGGATCATAATATCAAATCGTCCAGGTTTTTTTGGATTTTTAACTAGTTGAGAAACAATCTTATCCGGTAAGAATTGAAGGATAGATTTAGTCCTGCTAGTACTTACTTTTAATGTAAAAAAATGGCAACAAACATTTTAAAAATATACAACAGAAAATTCGTGACGTAGTCAATTTAAGAATAACATATCACCAAGAGAAAACAGGAACAACACTATCTTGATCTACACAAGATCAGAGTTGAAACAAACCCGTACAACGGGGTTTCACAAAGGTTTGCACGAGATGATGTCACAGAATTGCCGACTCCTTACCGATGGCATCAAGCTCATCTATGAAGATGATGGTTGGAGCTTTCTCCTTTGCGAGTGCAAACGCATCGCGCACCAGCTTGGCTCCGTCACCGATGAACATCTGTACCAACTGCGGGCCGGCGAGCTTTAGGAAGGTAGACTTGGTCTGCGCCGCACACGCACGAGCCATTAGTGTCTTGCCGGTACCCGGTGGGCCGTACAGCAGCACCCCTGAAACCCAGATAGCAAACATAAAACGTGGACGTCTCTTGTTCTTCAATTAGTATGCACATTCACATAAAGCTACATTCATATTTTCTTTTATTTACTGTATATGATCGCGTAATAACCGCGGGCGCCTATAAGCCGCACCTCAATTTGAATCGGGTAACCAAGTATTGCGCCTAGTATATTTCCCCTCACGGTATGGCGTACTTATAAACCGCAGAGCAAATACAGGGTTGAAATCTGAGGCCAAATTTGCGGTTATTACGCGAGTATATACGGTAATTTATGTTAATTAAAAAATTGAGTTTTTATAAATTATTTTATTTAAATATGGAAGCCAGAGTGGAACTATTCCAGCCATTTTGATGACCGCATTATTTCTTAGGCGTATATAATGTGTCAAAAACAGGACTGCAGCAGTACTAGTGTGGTTGCCCTAATTACGATCTTCCATTATTACACATGTACGTACAGCCTAATTAACCACACGTACGCACAGCAAGATTGTGCAAGATGCTTGATGCAATGGAAATTGCAGATTGTAAATTTGCAAAGGATTTAAATAGAATCTACTTCTTCACACCTCAATCAATTTTTCTTGTAATATTGTATAGTCTTATATGGAGATATATTTTAGATTATAATAAATCACATATTTTTCTATGCCAATTGGGATATGCTGAAGCAAGAACCACCTCAGAAGGGTGTTTCACCACTAACCAAAAATTTAGATTATGGATGCCTTATGGCACAATGACAGTTCTGATTTCCCATAGAATGCAGGTATTATAACAGATTACACACAGGATTACTGCAGTCAATAGATTTACAGTCTCATTAGAGCAAAAAATTTTGTTATGTGTACCTTTCGGAGGCTGAATTCCAAGATTTTCAAAGCGCTCCTTGTGTGTGAGTGGTAGAACACAGGCTTCCACTAGCTGTAACACAAAGGACATTTACTATAGATTGCATAACACTAGGCCTGCTTGACTGAATATTCCTGTTCCGCCCCTCCCAAGGGACAGAGCAGTAAAAAACCATGGTAGGCTAAAGCTTAAACACTCAGGCACGCATGCACACACACAGACAAAGACAGTAATTTATTACATTTAATTCAAGGTCTTTTACACTATAGACATAAACTATACATTTAAAAAATTAGAGCAGGCTAGTTTTGCGTAATGCATTATTTAAATACACCCTCATGTCAAAAATATTACTATTGTCATTCGTGGGTTTTACGGCACCACCAGTAAATGTACACATATCATTCACATATATAACAACCTTGAAGATAAGACAGTTTAGAGTTGATCTGACAGAATGTGCTTATTATCGGAGCCATGCAAACACTTATGCATTACGTAAGCCTCCGTTATTCCAAGAGCATGTGGACAATCGCTGACAGGCCTTGGCTATCCTGTAACACACCTGCCAGCACCCACACGCATATATGGCACAACAAACCCAATTGGAGCAATGAAACTAAATTGCCTGCTGAATACTGGAACCAGCCGTGTCATTAGAAAGTCGTTTGCCACCTCAACTGGGGTAACATGCATTGGCTGTTGACTGTCGCGTTGCCCAGTGAAAACACGATAACATTTATTCATCGCAGATAAACCAGCTTGGCACTAGTCTACACAACCACAGTTTACCACAGAATCATAGCTCAACAGATATTCAATTGACTACGTCATGAATTTTCTATGGTAAAATTTGTAAAAAAAAAAAAATTTTACATTAAAAGTAAGAACTAACAGGACTAAACGTATCGTCAAATTCTTACCTGATAAGATTGTTTCTCATCTAGTTAAAAATCCAAAAAACCTGGACGATTTGAATTTATGTTCATGACATTAATTGCTATGGGCTATGTATGAGTCACGAGTGTATGTTCACATCGAACAATATAGTAAAATAGGAAGTATAATGCAGCAATTTAACCATAAAAAGTGAACAGAATTACTCATATTTTGTAAAAAAATGGATTTTTTTTTTTACTATTTACGGTGACGTAATCACTCTCAGTAATAGTTACTCTGGATGGACTCACGTAGTTGTATTCCATAATTTAGTTGGAATTGTTTAGTAACTTAACGGATGATAACCAACACAGCGAGCGTGGCGCCCAACTTATGTCGCTTAGAACAACTTAGAACAAACGCTCGACTAGAACATCAATTATTGCTATTTGTCTCACGGATGGATGCATATTCTACCCATTTCAGCAACATAACAACAAACACAGTACCCATATCTAGCACAACGACCCAAACCAGACCATTTGCAAACAAAAGCTGCAAATGACTTGAGTGTAACAGCCAAGTCTCAAAAGCAATCTGTGACAATGTCGTCAATCAAATATCTCGTCTTCAACCACCTACTGAGGCAACAGCTGCATCCTACATTCACATGTACTGTTAACACTCTACGCGCACAGCAATATTGCCTGAAGCTAAATCTGCACCAGACGTCAATTACACGGGGTGGAATGGGCACGTAGAAACGCGTTCCAGCAGTCATTTTTGCTAGTAATGGTTGCGCACACCTAGCGGTGACAAAGGAGAAGAGTAGGACAACCCAGTGATGGCAGGTATATAAGCTGCCAGATTCTGCAGATCAAGCATGCCCACTTGTAGACTCATCCACATCAAGTCATCTCCACGGACAACTTAGTAAGTAGTCTCTATATATATGGAATATTGTACATACTTCACTTGTACTCTGCAGTGTTGTTAAGTTTCTCTAGTGCTACTATCACAAATTTATGACTGCCTATATATATATCTATACTCTTGCAATAAGCTATGTCATGTATGTAGAGTAAGATTTTCTTTCACAGTCAGCATAAAATCAGTGGGTAACACCACCAAACGGCTTAGTCAGTACCTCTGTGTTAATGTTTTTCACCAGAAGACAGAGATGTGGCTCGAGCAACATTGCAAGATATTAAAAACTATATTGATGCATCTATACTTTGTGTAATAGACAGGAAATTAGGAATGTTTCTATTTATTTGTGTAGGTAGCAATCATGAAGGGAGCTATAATCCTGCTGGCATGTGTAAGTATACATTCTGCATTTCTATGAGTTTACACAATGTTTTTATTATCAGTATATAAACGACAATATTTGGACAACTTTGCTTTAAATGCAGATTGATGCAAGGGTTGTGTTACCTCTATTTAATAATATTAAGTATGGATGTGGCATTGAACCAAGGCACGTATATGAAGAGAAGCAACTTTTCTTATTGCGGTGATGATGTGAAACATGAAGCATAGGTGCCAGGTTACCATCACACACCATAAGCGCATCGTATCACTGTTCCATAATGTTCCCACTTTCTCCTGCCTGCAGGTCACACAAGCTCTGTGTAGCGCTGGAGGTCTCCTCGGCGGCGGGCTTGGATTTGGCCAACAAGGACGTAGCTACGGATCCAGCGCCAGCTACGGAGGTAACCTCGGATACGGAGGTAACAGCGGATACGGAGGTAACCTCGGATATGGAGGTAACAGCGGATACGGAAGCAACCTAGGATACGGAAGCAACCTCGGATACGGAGGTAACCGCGGCTACGGAAGCAACCTCGGATACGGAGGTAACCGCGGCTATGGAGGCAACCTCGGATACGGAGGCAACCGCGGCTACGGAGGCAACCGTGGCTATGGAAGCAACCGTGGCTACGGAGCCAACCTCGGCTACGGACGCAGCCTCGGCTACGGAGCCAACCTGGGATACGGAGGCAACCTCGGCGGCAGAATTAACCTGGCATCCGCAGGCAACCTCGGCGGCAGAATTAACCTGGCATCCGCAGGCAACCTCGGTGGCAGAATTAACCTGCGATCCGGAGGCAACCTCGGCGGCAGAATTAACCTGGGCGGCAGGCGCGGTGGCTCCCTCAACGGCTTCGGTGGTCTCGTCGGACAGGGTGGACGTCACGGCGTCGGCCAGGTCGCCGTCTCCGGCCGCTACACCTCCCTCGGAGGCAACAGGATCGGACTTGGAAACGCCATCAGCTTCGAGGCTTCCGATGAGTTCGTCGGCACCGGCGCTTTCAACTTCGAGGGCGCCCGCGACCGCGCCGCTGCCCACGCCCCGTCCGGCACCGAGCCGAGATCCGCCCCGGGGGTCGTCGGACAGAAGTACGGAGCTGGCTTCGCCCGTCAGTGGCACGCTGCCTCTGCTGACCGCGCTGCCTCCGGCACCGGTACCGCCGCCTCGGCCCGCCAGGCCTCCCGCCGTGCCAACCAGGAGGCGCAGGCTCAGTTCCAGCAGGCCGCCGCGGGCGCTGGAGCCGGATCTGCCGGAGCCGCATACGGTTACGCGAGGAACCTGCCCTACTCCGGCATCCAGGCCGTCAATGTTGCCGCCCCACGCGTGCAGCTCGGACCTCTGACCGCCGTTGTCGGTGGAGGCGCCGGTGACGCGTCTGCTAGCGGAATCGCCGGAAGCAACGCCGGATCCCTCGGTGGAATCAACCTCGGAGCCGCGAACATCGGAGGCGGCGCAGTGCGCCTTGGATCTGGAGCTATCCGCGGAGCTGGACTCGGTCTTGGATCCGTCCGCGGAACTGGACTCGGTCTTGGATCCGTCGGTGGAGCTGGACTCGGTCTTGGATCCGTCCGCGGAGCTGGACTCGGCCTTGGATCCGTCCGCGGAGCTGGACTCGGTCTTGGATCCGTCCGCGGAGCTGGACTCGTGCACGGTAGCGGCGTCCACGCCACGGGAGTCCACGCTGTCGGCACCTCATATGATCAGCAGCCCGCCTATGATGCCGGTAGAGTTGGCATCAACTATGACTCCCCACGTTACGGCTACAACGCCGGAGAGGGATATGGCAGCAGCAACAGCTACAACGCCAAGGACTGGTAAACAACGACGCTAATGGAAGCAGCTACCTGGATTATGGCAATCAGACTGATACTATTTAAATTATTCACATCAAGTAGCAACACTTTTCAAATTATATGATGACATAATGTATCAATCAAAATTAAAATGCTGGTAACGTTCCTGCAGTAACTTTGTACTGCTGTGATAAGTGACACGTTTGGTGCTGAAAGAATCCTATGAATTGCATGTTTAATTTATAGATCATAACGTCTCTCTATGCACAAGCTGAAAAATTTCATGAAATATTCTGCATCTAGTTATATGACTTCGGAAATTTTAAATTTTTATGTAAAAATGTCATTTTCGACATTTTTCAATTACTACAAACAGTGGGGTAGCAAAACCTTTGCTACAATTTACACATCGTATGCACCAAAAAGTGTGTTGGGATTTTTTTTAAGATTCACATTCACGTTAAACATGATAAAAACTAAAGTTGTAAAAAAACAACTTGTATGTTGTGACTAAAAACTTAAGCAAATACAGTACCATAAGTGATAAAAGACAACACGTAATATCAAACCCTACTGCGCTTTTACAGTAATGTGTTACCATTAAAAAAGGTCTAAATTTAAATTATACCAAGGTGATATTATGACGGAGAAATTGTGACCGAAATAGCAAAGGAGAAATCAGCATTCTTCTGATTTTCACAATGATCGAATGGCTGTGTGCAAAATGGGTGAATATATGTGAAATATTTACTGTTAGTTCTTATTCATGAGCTCGTCTATGTTGCAAAATTCACTACAAGTACAACTCATTTGTATTGCTACTTTCATAACATTTCTTCGCAAAACCTAAACGAGAGTACTAGTCTCACGAAAGTAGCGCCACAGTGATGTTTACACATCTGGGACACAGCTGAGCGATCGTTAACATTGTTTTCTATGATAAAACAAGTTATAATTCATTATATGTTTGTTCAGTACAGAATTGTGAAATTTGTTTAAATCACATGTTATCCACATTACTTATGCAATCAGGAAACAAATATAGTGTTTTCTTTCCAGGAACTATTTGCGCTAGCGTACCCCTTTCGCTCAACATAATTTATGCACCGGATAACTCTGTTGGACGTTGTATCAAAATCCTCTAGTTCGGAGCACATTTCTGACTCAATAAGAACATTTTGTAATATTTGCATACTGCAAGTATGCTCACAGTAGGTGTATGTAGGCTGTTGGTTTATCCACTTTAAAGAAAAGTAAACTATTTGATTTTTTTTACAAAAGATTTTATTAAGGTGGTTAGTTACAGATGCCTACAGATGCCACACTTGCAGACTTTCTTTCTGCTCCTGCACGGCATGAAAAAGCTTGACCGTATACTTAATAATTACCTCTTGAATCTGCTTGTCAAGACCTCCAATGTCACTGTATTGCTCAGTTGGTCTTTCGTCCACCTCCATTGCTTTCACACGTGAGTCAAATCTGCACCAAGGATGAATGAAAATATTTAACTGGAGCTTTTCCACAAGACATAAATGCTCTGAACTTTTAATAACAAATTTATCCTGATATCATCAAATTTGAACAAAAGAATTAAATAACTCCAAAAATCTACAACAAACAGACATTGTTTCTAAACTTGGCTAAAATCTCATTTAGTTTAGTTGAAAACCAATGAGTTATATAAATTACACAGTCGATGAAACATCTGTAGCATGTCATAAATGCTATTTGGTAAAGAAAATGACAAGAACAGGTGTCAAAAAATGTTGTTAAAATAACAATTAAAATCAGAGTGTACTTACTCTGCTGGTAGCTTTTCCAGAATCAGATATGAATCTTTGTTCACACCCTGTATAATTAGAAGAGTAACCAAATTTAATTGAAAAATATATTTTGTAAATATAAAGTAATTGCATTCTTTAAGTCAATTACTGCAAACA